ATAATATATTTATATATTTATATAGTATATTTACCTGGTGCAACAGTAAATCTAGTTCAAACAGTTGTTCCGTATGTACTGAACATTACTCTGGTGGCATCTGTGTCCAGAGTAACATCTTCTGGAGATGCAAGATCAACTTTTATAGATCCAGAATTGTTTCTTCTTCTGGTCATACCACCACCCCAATTCGACAGTGTCCAATGATAAGTTTCACCTTCTTTCTCGGTATTCGTTGTCTCCTGCGTTTCGTTATCTTTGTCCAAGCCAGTCTCAACAGAGACCGAGGAATGCGAAGCTACCGAATCGAAACTAGAATCCGCAGCCCCTCTGTAACGACTAACATAGTCAGTGGACATTTCACCAGGCGATTCCTCGATAGCTTTCAGTATGTTCTGACAGAGTTCTGAATCGAGGGGGATCGGATTTTCGGAATCACGATTATGAATAGTGACGGCTATATGCGCCGGATGCGGGATCGGAAGCGGAATGAGCAACTTTTCTGCACTGTACGGACGAATTTGTCGTTTCCACGGTTGCCAGCATCCCTCTCCTGTATCAATGGCCGACGTTGTGCGTCTTCTAATTTTTGTCGATGTCAGAAGTCTCCCAGTTTCGCTAAAAAGTGAATGACTTTTCTATTTCTATACTATACTCTCAGAGAAAAGATATGAAATATTATCTACCATCGTTTGTCAGATTTTCTACTGTTACTGTTCTGTTTAGACCGTGGATTGAAAGCTGATACTTCCAAAGAAGGGCTGTAGACTTGTATCTTTCCACGTGGTGCGTAAACAGCGCCAAGTAAGTCTGGCCCGTTGGTACCACCGATCTCGGTGCTATGAACCATGTCCGTATAACGCGACAAATCGACTCCTGGATGAGGTTCTAATCTGAATTTTGTATCAGCGTCGTCGAGAGGCTGAAGGAAATTCAAGCTGAAAATGTCCGCGTACATGAGGCCAGCTAAACCGGCCCAGTCGCCAACGCTTAAACCTTTGTTTTCCCAGAAATCTTCTTCGTTTCCAGATAATCTTGCGAACACGTGAGTTGGATAAAGACGTTCCAACATAAGCGCCCCTTGTTGTATTACCACCTGCACCATCATTATTATACGTTGATAAATTGACAAGCGTAAAGAAAAAGTGTTGGAAAATGTTTGATCAGTGAAGTACCTTCAAATCGAAGGTGGTAAGCTTTATTTTACTTCTCACTACCATTCCAAGACCAGTCTGTAAATTTTTCCTACGTCTATCTAATTTCTCGTGCAACACGGCGATCAGATCTTTGGCTTCCTTTTCCAGCGATTTGTATGGATCTTTCGTCTTGGCTAGACTGGCAGCAAACGGACCGAAACAGGCTTCTACGAACTGAGTGAAATCTCGTTGCGGTTGCGTGATCAATCGTTCTATTTCCTGTTGAAAGGCTAACAGTTCATCCAGCTCCAGTTTTGCTTCGAACGCAGCTAATGCTTGCTCAGGCCTAATCTATAAATAACAACGAAACCATTAACGCTACAGCCATACAGCCGTTTTATTAATTTTTAACACCTACTTGGTAATAATAATCGGAAGTTAGTCCTGGTCCAGCTATTCTTTTAACCACGAAACTATCACTGGCAGGTATACGACCCCTGTTCTTTATTACTAAATGGAACATAGTCGTGTCCCAGACCACTCTAATCCAATAACGTATCACAGCAACTGTAAGGTAACGACGTTGTATTTTAAATAGATGAAGTACGTTACTGGGCCAATCAAAGTGTTGCAAACGTACTTGTAAGTATCACAAAAGAAATGATGGGACAGAAAAGAAGAGCTACAATTAACGCTGCGATCGGTTGTAGACAGCCTTGTATACCAATATTCCAGACTAATGCTTCCATAATCACCAAATATCGATTCCTACTTGGTTCCGGGCTATCCAAATCCATGATGAGCGCCATGAATGCGTGCAACGTTAAAGTAATCAAAGGCATCCTATAATATAAATTAAAAAAAAAAGAAAAAAAGAATCATTAATTTTTCTCTTAATGATCAATAGAAGATACAGTAATGATTATACAATCAACGAACCACAAAATTGCAGTAAGTGCAATAAGAAGTGATCCTAAACTGGTGACTATGCAGACAACAGGAAAAACAAATAATATGATGAGTGTTCCTAAAAGACCTTTCACGCCATAATTCCATAGCCTGTTTAAATGCCTTGTCATTCCCTTTCCAATGAATCCTGCATACCGAGAGAACAGGATTACTTGGTCGATAAATTAGAACATCTAAATATAACTTTAATTAAATTTACCAGTGTCCGGTTCCGTTTCGAAATGCGTCCGACTTTTACTAATGTGTCTCCAAAGAGCTATCAAACGTGAACAAAGAGTGGGCATTTGTGATGATTTCCTAGGGAACAGGGTTCCGTTCAGTTGGCTCAATTCTAAATCGGGTGTGAAGGGTTGCACGAGCAGCAAAGCTCGTATGGAGACTGGACTACACCATGGTACTGCTACGCCTAACAGGAACATCGCATTCCAAGTCCAACACCATGTCCTGGCTACATAGTTGATCCAACGCCACATAGGCCATCTGTTCATATATGTTTTAGTATTAATCATATTTCCACATATTTATAAGTTATGATCATTTTCACTCTTTGTCATTTCAATTATTCTTTCTTCTGTAGATTTATATACAGGGCGTCCAGTGGGCAGTATATGATTCTTCATGAAAAAATATATCGTAAATTTATTGCACGGTCGGGAGGAAAGAGTTTCTCCGTATAAATAAATTTTGTTTCATTTCACATTTGATCTTTGAACACGACTAGTAACAAAATGAAACGATAGCCAAAGGGTATAACATTGGTATTTACACGAAACCAATAAATTTTCAAAATCGATTTTTTCCAAAACAAAGTTTCTTTCGAAGCAAAATTGTATTCTCCATTTTTGACGTAGTTCTACAATACCCTACCTATCGATACTACATTTTACAAGACACGATGCCTGTATATATACCTTGTCGTAGTTGTATGTACGATTTCTCTCTCTACTAAGAAGACAGGCTGACTGGGATCGGCGCGTGGCGTCGTGATAGACGTCGGAGTGTTGCTGAGTACCGTTGGTATGATTTCAGACTGACCCTGGAAATTACGTCTGACGATCCAATTCTTCGGAAGCCATATCTGTGTCGGCCATTGGAAGCTTCTTGTGGGTGTTTTCACTTTGCGCAATTCTTTCAGTAAAACTGGCTCTCTCTGAGGGAAATATCACAGTTTGTAATACGCTTGTAAAACGTACAGGACAATATGAATTATTCATTCGTGTACCTCTTTCATAAATGTTAGATCACGGTTAAGAAAGTAAACCGTCTGTTGTAAATTCTGATGGGTGCACAACGCAAGAGCCTCCTCGTGAGCGCACCATTCGCACTCTTCGATGAATTTGTCTTCGACTTCTCGCATTCTGTCTCTCATCCACGGCTCTATTCGAGATAGAACCGGATGCTCGTTCTCGATATGACATCTCAGTGCTTCCTTCGTTTGTAACAGCTTCAGCTGCACCGTCTCCACGGCTCGATGCATCAGCACAACCGACTGTGCCTGTTGGACCAACAGCTGAGCGATCCCGTTACCCAAATCGAGTATGTCCGGATGCGACAGAATATTGGAGAACACTCGTTGCAGATATTCGCGCATAACAGCCTCGTTCACTTCCTGAAAAGTCAGTTAACTTGGTAAGAATACGTTCCATAACGTATCCATACGTTCCATAACATTCTACTTATGACGAGTCAAACTCGTTCTTCTACGAACTTGTTAATAACTTGTTGACTTGTTAATTATTTGTGAACACAGTGTATGCAGAACCTGCAGAGAAATTAATTCGAATTTATGCAAAAAAATTAGAAATTGTACGCAAGGGGTTAAAAGAGTAATAAAAATTTTGTCCAAATACTTTCTATCATATAATCATCGTGTTCAAAATTTCACTCGTCTTCCACTGTAAGCGAGTTAATTGTATTTGGTAATTTAAAGAGCGATCTAACCAAGTTCGTTTTATTATCGTAGGATATTTATTTTATCAATACTTCCAGATCTCTTTTAACTTATTGTTAGGCTACTCTTATCTGAATCACACGTACTCTTTCGATCTCTTCGTCCGGCTTTTTCCGTGCTCTCAACTCTGATATCAGTCTTTCTCTGAAATGAAGAAACCAGCCTCGTGTCTCTCTCTCCAAAATAGCATATAGAATCGGTAAAGCTTTTTTGATAATGTCTCTGCTAAATAATCTAAGATCAACCACTGCTCCGGCAGGTGTTCCGAATACGAATGGAACCGATATAGGCAATAGTTGCGACAATTCTCTTTCCACTTCGAATTTCTCCGTGGTCGCTCGTCGAAGCTGTTTCCGGACGAAGCCGCACAGTAGTTCCAGAGAGTCTTCATACTCGGGCTGCAAATCGCCACGAAATATGTAAACGTTATTAAAGTTAGCACATTTCGTTAAATCGTTGTTCATCAACCCTTTGAAACCTGAGCAATTTTTCCCTTAATTTTTATTTCTGCGTCAATATCTTAGAAATGAAAGAAGGTATATATGTATATCTGTACCATTGAGAAACGTTTAAATTTTGCTGTACAAATTGATTGAAAATTTGAAAGTGTGTCAAAAGTATGAAAATACTTTCCACGAAAGAATAAAGATTCTTCGTGAATGAATAAATGGAATTACGTAGAATAATTGCGCTCTTCTCTCGAAATGAAAACTCTCATCTTGCTTACCCTGCACACTAGTTCAGCGACCAAGTATCGACACCGCTCCTCCCTGATTTTGGCATCTAAATTGTGTGCTTGAAGCGACGGCACACCGATTATTATATCTAAAACAATGTCCTTCGATTACTAAAGATATCTCTCTTTAACCCTTTGACGACGATAAATCCACGTGTATGTGTACGTTGAAAAAAAAGAACAGCCTGAAGTACGACAGAGGTTTGCTCGTGAAAAGAAATTCCAAATTTCGAGTAACTTTGTCGCGATCACGACGAAACGCAACGTCGTCTGTGCAAAGGGTTGAATGATCCACGAAAGCAGCGAAGAACTTTCTCCGACGAATTCTTACCGAGAAGCCGCAACAGTCCTGTCAATAACGCTTTCAAAGACTGCGAAACGCTGAAGCAATGGGAGACCAGTCTGGCCTTCCCCGTCACCACGAGGAATCTCGTCGACAAAGCTAGATCTCGTAGCAACGCGTCTCTCCTTCGATCCCTGCCACGCTGAAGAAGTCCGCTCAATCTCCATCGGTGAGTTTGCCCGGCGAAATTGATCGAATCCACTTCGAACTCTCTGAAATGTACGATCGCTAATGAACGAAAATGAGAAAAAAAAGGAAGAAAAGAAACGATCAATTTCAAAAGGATGAAAAAATGTGATAGAGAGAGGGAGAGAGAGAAGGAAAAAAAAAGAAAATACGTCGCGATAATTCGTGAACAGAATCTATATCGTCGTATGTCTACAACACCCGATAAATGAAAGAAACATTCGACATGTACACGGTATGCAGCAGAACGAAAAGAACATCCTGGAAAATAGGTGGGTAAGGTTGTGTTCCAAATTTCTTTTTACATATTCACAGAAGATTTTTGAATAGTGTCTGGTATAAATATATATATTCTCTTTTTTTATATATTAATTCACATATTCGGCCCCATTTTTAACCTGATTCATTTCCCCCGTGGAGGCTAGTAAAGCTAGTGTCAGGTAAAATTCTTACTGGCTATGATGCAAGCATGATCTAATGGCTATGGAAGGTAAAACGAATAAAACACCTACACCATCTATGTGCTATACGGAAATCGTGCTTTGTTTCTTTCTAATAGCTAGATACGTTTACTATTCATGCTGCGATTTCTGCTTAGGTGTTATTATTATTATTTTGTTAGAAGCTGCGTGTGGTGAACTCTACGAAACCCATCGTCCGTACGAAATGGATTAAAAAGGAGTGATTTTCTGTGTTCGTTCGGTGATGCCTCTCGTTTTTTGTACTTTCGATTTTCTGTTTCCGGGGAGATGAACGAAGTAACTCGGGACGAAGATGATGTTGTGAACCATGCTGTTTCAGAGAGTGTTTTCAGTGTGTAGTGGTGGCATTTACAGGTTGTTCAGATTGAGGTTTCGTTTTTTTTTTTTGCTTGTTTAATTTTTTTATTATTATTATCAAGAGGTGACGAGGAACATAAAGTGATTCCAGTGTATCTCCATAATCACCGTACAAGGTATCGTTTCTTTCTTTTTTCTTTTATCGATCTTTTTTTGTTTTTTTCGAGACAACTTTGAATATTGTATGACGCTGGTGTAGTGACATACCCGCATCTTCGAATGCTCTCCAATTGAGTGGCATTCAGCTTCTTCGGTTTTCCGTACTTCTCCTTCTGAAAGCTTTACAAAAATCGTTAGAAAATATCAGACACAGAGTACAGCGGCAACGTGTGATTTGTCATACTGATCCCAACACGAGAATTTCGAGGCGTCGTGAACCACGCTTAAATTCGATCGTACATTTTTTTCACCTTATTATTCGAACAATCAAGCAATAGAATTAGAAAAAAAAAAAACACCTGTTTGACTTTTCGCTACGATTCTCTCCCGTCTGTATCCATTACAACATATGTAGTACAATTTCGATAAAAATTCTTCGAAATGATCTATCTCGCCTATACACGACCTAAAATAGAGAACAACTAGCATCTGCCTTTTAGTGAGAGAGAGAGAGAGAGAGAGAGAGAGAGAGCTTCATTCAAGCTTTTTATACACGACCTAAAATAGAGAACAACTAGCATCTGCCTTTTAGTGAGAGAGAGAGAGAGAGAGCTTCATTCAAGCTTTTAACGATTAATTTGTGAATCGTTAGTAGATACGACGCGATTTTCTCTCTTGCTCGCTGCTGTGCGCAAAGAAACGCTACTAATCACTAGTTCTAAGGAAGACAATCGCTACGGATACGTAAATCGTGTCTCGAAGCAAGTACTCAATTCAAAGATCAACGTCATTAATCCGTCGGTTGCAATTTTTGTAATCTCAGAAAATAATTTCGATGAAATTGTGCTGGTGATTACGAAAGTGACCTCTAATTCGTATATCTCTCTCCTTTCCAGCGTGTTTAAACTATTTCACAATGACTACAAACTTCTAAATCACCGGCACAATTTCTCCTTCCAAATTCTCCAATTCTTCGTTGAAATCTTCTCGATGCGTAAAACAAAAAAGCGCTTCATCGTGTAGGTATCGCAACTGCAGGTGTTAAAGACGACTGTGCGAGAGCTTAAGATTGACTGACACTACTGGCTACCTACGAAGAAGAGACAGAGAAATATCTGAGTAACGTTTCTTTTTATACAGAGATACCTACCCTCGTTTGCTGATGCTCTCCAGCTGTTTCTTCGTCAATCTCCTCGGCTCACCCTTGCTATCCACCGCAACTGAATCCAATTCGTCGAAGCTCGGCGCGACAAACAGGTCCCTCAGGTGGTGTTTCTTCCTCGCGAGGGTGTCCTCGCCCTCTGTGCACGTGGACAACGAAGAGGGAAGGACGATGGGGAATGTTCGCCAGTGGTAGAGGAATTGCTGCGCGACCTCTTTGATATTGTGAACCAGTGCCTCAACTTCGGCCGGTGCGCCGCGTAAATGAGAGGTGTCGAACTCCACTGGCTCTTTCTGCGAATTCAGTTCGTCCTTCGATTCATTTTTTTCTTTTACAAATTTGCAACAAGGATAAATTTCAAATTTTGTTAGGTGTACGAGTTAATTCGGTGCCTTTTTTTCGAAAAGTCTCGAGGGCTCTCGATCGACTCGAAGTCGCCGTACTCTTTCAGAGAGGGAATTCGTCCAATAAATGGGAAAAAGTCATACGAAATAGCGAAGATCATTTGGAACATTAAAACTGTGTAAAACGTTTAAGCTTGTGAAAAAAAGGCACTAAATTAATTCGCACACCTAATGTTTTCATCGGT